ATATACAACTGTGGCAGTTATAAGTGATGGCATCTAAAGCCTGATGCTTCTTCCTTATCCTATATTCAGTAATCTCGCGTTTACTCTTCCAAACTCTGGTGTGGGGTACTCCATGTTTGATGCGTGGCGACTAACAACTAAAAACAATTCGTATATACTCAATAAAAAATGTTTTCTGCCTAAGCCACCTAAAATTTTTATCCATCCTTGAGGGTTTGAACATGATCAAATTTCCTATTATCACTTTTTCACCACAAGACAGAATTACAGTAAGAATAATTACCTGACCACAGGGAACGCTCATACGAGTGAGCACTCGTGAGCCATAGGAAGAGTTTACTCCTCTTTCTCTTAAAGGTCTACATTGACTACAGCTAATAAAGATAAATTCATAATGCGCTTCTGATTACGCTCTAGTGAATATATCTAATAGGTAAGATATCATCATTTTTTGCTTATATGGTAACAGTCTAATCTCACCGACTTATGTCTCTAGACTAGTTTCGCTTAATTGCTTCATTTACTGAACCAGTTCATTCACTTTTTAGATAAGTAGTTTTATATTACTGATTTTTTAAGATAACAGCTTTCGTGAAGGATTAACTTTTCCAAAGTTTTCTTGTTAAGACCATAATGAAATTCTATGGATGCTAGATTATTTCACCAGATCTAATGAGGCTGAATTTCCTTCCATTACAACTCCTTTCTCTTATACACCTTAAATGATACTTACTCGCCAATAAGAGCATTATATATGATATATAAATCCTAGTTTTTTGAGATATAAGGAGTATACGTTAAGCTAGAAGATCGTAGGATAATAAAAATTAGTCATGTATACAGTATTTGAATAAAAAACAAGAGTATAGGAGATTATGATGGAGTCAATTCTGTCAAGCGGATGTCAAAGATATGTATATCAAAGGGATATGCAAATAGATTAGATCGTTGAAGGTTCCATATAGTTTAAAGATATAATTCATCTCTCAGTAAGAACAATGCTCTCTTGTCCATTTGTATGCCTATATTGAGAGCCATCTGCCACATTCTCGTCTTCTGAATCAACTGAGTGCTGTAAGGAAATATAATAAAATAAATAAATAATACTTAATACTGTAGATTAGACTAAATGTGAAAGATAAGCTCATGAAATATAACCCGAAAACTGAGGCCCGAGGAAGACCAGTAGACAATTTGGCCAGATTTTGCAAATGCATGAGTTTAAGAGAAAACATATAGCCTAAGTAAGTGCACATAATTATGCTCAAGCTTTCGCACATTATGGATCTGGCTTTGCCAGAATTACACGCACGAATTATGAGCCGTTGATAGCATAAACGTATATTGATCTCATATAATTCAGACTACTTGTAAGTAAATAAGGAAATAGAATATAGGAAAGGTGAATAGCCATGGACAGAAAGAGAGATACCACAACTTTTTAGCACACATTTGGTCAAAGGATCGGCTTCACTTGTCCCTTTGACGAGTTGTAGTATGGTGCAAAGAATGGCCAGACTCACTGACGATGCCAGCGAAACGTCTGGGAATGTACCACGTCCACGAACCGACTCTGGAAATTATCATGCGTACGATGGACTCTGGACTAGGTGCGTTCCTCTAAGTGATCCTACAAACATGACCAAGCTGTGAAAACATGGCCAAAGAACTTTAATCCTTTTAGTTAGCATTAAATTGTGGATTACCGATTCAACTGGGTGCACGCTCACAGACTTTTGAGCCTAGAGCCCGGCGTTAATTAGGATAAATGAGTGATACCGTCTCAGTTACCAGCCAATACACCCATCCATTGTTAACAAGCCGACTCAAATACTAAGCTGCTGCGGATTGAACGTTTGCCCTTTAAAAAAGGGCCAGCTCGTAAGAAATCGCCCTCACTAAAGTCCAAATGTACTTTTCCCCGACGTAGAGTAGAATAGATAGCTTTTCGAAGTGTTGTACTATCATATAATGTTACATTTAGTTGGAGACAGCCGCTTCAGTCGGATTGTTCAGGTATTAGCTAAGTTTTGTCTGATATTGAAAGATGTTTCTATATTACACACTCAAAAGGTTAAATTTTTAAAGGCTGCTTACTATATATTTTCACTTCAGATATTAGAGATTCACTTTAATTGTAATTTTTAATTACTTTTAGATGACCAACAGAGTCAAGGAAATGATGTCTCACTCGACAAATCTGCATGCAGTCCCGCAACCTTAAAGTCGAATCTTAAGAGATCAGCTGATGCTGAAGAGGACGAAGGCACTATTATTGATTCGGCTTCTTCCCTTAAGATTGCCAGATATCTTCCGCCCTCGTTACCCGCACAATTCGATACTTCTGCCCCAGGACAATCTTCATCGTCGACTAGTAAACCCGGGCCATTTACCCTCCCTCCCGTGCCTCCTGGTACCCCTGACTTTATGGCTGGAATTCATCGCGTCACCACCTTAGACCAGCGCTCCGTGGAATCGCATGAAGCACGAGAGCTTGGTTTCCGGTTGTGCCGCTTTGGAGGATGCCGGTACTCTTCTGATGGTTCCCACGACCTCGTTTCCGCCCTTGCTCAGGACGGTGATGGTGAGGATGAGCAGGATGAGGATGATGATAGAGAAGAGAGTAAGGGGAAACAGTCAGGTTTGACCGAGTCCAAATCATCTGAAGAAGCGTCAGTCCTTGAGCAAAGACAATCAAATGCTCTCGGCTCTGAGGACAATTCTGGCCAGCAAGACTGGTCAAAAGCAGCTCCTGGCCATGCTTCTCTTGCTCGCGGCGAGTTTCCGTTTACTGTGAAATGGCGAAAGCTACCACTTCACTTTCTCGGAAGTCAGCCAGTCTCAATGTCATTTGATAATCTTGGTCTTCTACAGGATAAGCCATACCACGTTTCCTATAAGGCTGATGGAACACGCTACTTGTTGCTGATTGCTCGTCCGAGACGCGTGTATTTGATTGACAGATGCAATTTTGTTTACAGGCCTGAAAAGTTGCATTTCCCTACTATGAATTGGGTTAATCGCGTCAAAGATAACCCTCGTGAGTGATTATTTATCCTAGATTATTCATCTAAGATCCATTAATGCTCTTCTCTAGTTTATCTGCTCAGAAACTAGACTTCGTTGACTTATAATATATAATGGCTCATACTCTGGCTGTATTTTCTTTTGCTACTATTAGCTGCATCAGGAGATGAGCCAGATTACTTGACTACGCCGGGTGGCCACCTAATTGACACTCTTTTGGATGGTGAACTCTGTCTCTTTCACGAGCCGAATTCTCCAGAACCCGTACCCCGCTTCCTTATCTATGATGCCATCACAATCAACGGCTATCCCGTCGGCAAGTTTGAGTTTGCTCGTCGCTACTCTTCAATTATCGAGCATGTAATCTGTCCCCGTAACACCGCAGTTCAACTTGGCCTTTTCGACATGCCAGCCCAATCGTTTTCAGTCCGAAGAAAAGAATTCTTTCCATTGGCGTGCTTAAAAGATGTACGTGTTTTGCTCAGAAAACTTTTTCTTCTACTTTGGTCCTTCGCCTCTTGGCTTTTCACTAGTGTCTCATTTTTATGACGTAAATTTAGCCTTACTTTTGTCAATGCATTCCTGTAGATTAGAGTCTACATAATGAGACGAGCATTATTCATCCCATTGGAACACCTTCCTGCAGCTAATTGCATCAGAGCTACCTCATA